ATATTCCCCAAAAATTCCCCAAAAAAAATTCCCCAAAAATATTCCCCAAATTTCCCCAAAAGTGCGGGCTGTGGGGTTGCAGGTGGACAAGGAGCGGCTGCAGGTGAAGGTGGAGGCCGGGATTCTGCTCTCGGAGCTCAACCGGCAGCTGGACCAGCACGGCATGGCGCTGGCCAAGTGAGCGGGAGCGGGATCGGGAATGGGATCGGGAATGGGAGTGGGAACGGGAACGGGAACGGGAAGGGGAACGGGATCGGGAATGGGAACGGGAATGGGAACGGGATCGGGAATGGGAACGGCATGGCGCTGGCCAAGTGAGCGGGAGCGGGATCGGGAATGGGATCGGGAATGGGAGTGGGAACGGGAACGGGAACGGGAAGGGGAACGGGATCGGGAATGGGAACGGGAATGGGAACGGGATCGGGAATGGGAACGGCATGGCGCTGGCCAAGTGAGCGGGAGCGGGATCGGGAACGGGAATGGGAATGGGATTGGGATCAGGATCGGGAATGGGAACAGCATGGCCCTGGCCAAGTGAGCAGAAACAGGAGTGGGAATGGGAGCGGGAATGGGAATGGGATCGGGAATGGGATTGGGAATGGGAATGGCAATGGGATTGGATTGGGATCAGGAATGGGAACGCCATGGCCCTGGCCAAGTGAGTGGGAAAGGGAACGGCATCGGGATCGGGAATGGGATCGGGATTGGGATTGGGAACGGGAATGGGAGTGGGAATAGGAATGGGAATGGGAATGGGAATGGGAATGGGATCGGGAATGGGAACGGGAACGGGATCGGGAATGGGAATGGGAACGGGAATGGGAATGGGATCGGGAACGGGAACGGGAACGGGAATGAGAATGGGAATGGGAATGGGATCGGGAATGGGATTGGAATGGGATCGGGAATGGGAATGGGATTGGGATCGGGAATGGTAACGGCATGGCCCTGGCCAAGTGAGCGGGATTGGGATTGGGAATGGGAATGGGGATGGGGTCAGGAATGGGATCGGGAATGGATCTAGGCGGGATCAGGATCCGGGAACGGATCCAGGTGGGATCAGGAATGGGAATGGGGATGGGAATGGGAATAGGAATGGATGCAGGTGGGATCAGGATCTGGGAATGGATCCAGGTGGGAAAAGGATCCGGGAACAGATCCAGGTGGGATCTGGGAATGGATCCAGGTGGGATTGGGAATGGATCCAGGTGGGATCAGGATCTGGGAACGGATCCAGGTGGGATCAGGATCTGGGAACGGATCCAGGTGGGAATGGGACTAGCTCCAGGTGAGATCAGTGTTCAGGAATGGATCCAGGAGGGATCTGGGAACGGATCCAGGTGGGATCTGGATCCAGGTGGGATCAGGATC